TGCTGTTAGTCTATGCGACTCTTACAGCTTCATCTTGTCTCAGGAGCTCGCGGCCTACAAGGCCGCGAGCTAATTAAAGAGGTAAAGGCAATGAGGTGAAAATGATGATGAGATGGTTTATGATTTGATATTGTTACCAATCATCATGTCGCCTTTTAGGCGTTTTTCTTTGAGCTATCTAACCGCAGTCCAAGGGGGGGGAGTGCGGACCCCCGTCTCTGACTGCTCAGCTCGTGTCGGTTGATGGTCTAGGCGGTGAGAACCGTCCAGGAACGCGGATGTACGGTGTGTACGCGGGGTGAGCTGGAACGCGTCGTGCCCGTCTGCGGGTGCGACGCGTCCCATTCGTTGTCCTATTTGTGTTTGTCCCATTTAGAGTGGGTGTTGTGTCGTTGTGTGATGTGCCTGCGACGCTTGGGTCGACTGGATCGAGCGATATTGGTGGCTCTATTAAAACATTTCGCGGTCTACGGAGATAGGACGCGACGTTTGCTATCGGAACGTAGTTAGCTGCGTTTGTCACTGGCGGGTTAGGGTGGGTTTCTACTCTATCAAAGTAGCGTTGGGACATCTCCTTAAAATATTCGGAGATAGATGGTAGTTCACAATCATTGTGTAAGTCAGAGTTCCGTTGATACCACCGTGCGCCGGTGGCTTTTCGGATGAAAAAGTTTTGTACTCTTTGGAGTTTTAAAATATGGGTCTTATATATTATATGGACGAAAGCTACACTTGCATAGGAAATAACTGGTCTAATGCAGGTTTTGTACAGTCGGAGTTTGTGTCTTAGGGACAGTTTACTCTTGCTGTTAACGAGGGGGTGTAGACGGCCAATTATTGACTTGGCTCTGTTGCGTACTACACTTATGTGCGTCTTGAAACTCATGCGGGAGTCGAAAGTGACGCCTAGATATTTGGCCGATTTTTCCCAAGGGATTGGGCGGTCGTATAAAGAGATTGTTTTGGGTTTAGAACCTCCTGTAGAATTCCGTTGAAAGTATACTGCTATACTTTTTTCGGGATTCACGTCAATTCTCCATAGGCGGAACCATTCACCAAGGCGATTGGTCGCTTTTTGGAGCTTTATAGCGAGTCTATGTTTGTTGGGGTCTGACACAAAGAGTGCCGTATCGTCGGCAAAGAGAGCGGTGTTCACTACGGGGTCTTTTGGGATATCACTCGTGAAGAGTGTGAAAAGGAGTGGAGATAGTACGGAGCCCTGTGGGACCCCCGGCCTTGAGGAAACGTTTCGAAGAACGAGTTCCCTCCACTCGATATCGAAAAGAGCGGTTCGAAAGGAAAGCTCGTATGATGTGCACGAGCCTATCGGGCACGTTTAGTTTGTACAGCTTGTAAATCAAGCCGTCGTGCCAGACCTTGTCAAACGCCTTCGCGACATCGAAGAAGAGGGCTCCCGTGTTTCGAGACTTTTTTCTTAACGGGTTGTGGCTGAAGCCAGACAGAATGTATTCTGTTAGGCGATGAATCTGGTGAGTGCATGAGTGATTGGCTCTAAAGCCGAACTGTTCGTCTGGGAGGAGTCTGTTAGTTTCGGTGAAATGACGGAGACGCTTAGGAATAATGCGCTCATATAGTTTGGCCAATGTGTTGAGCAGGCTAATGGGTCTGTAGCTAGAGAGACGATTACGCGGTTTACCCGGTTTTGGGATCCCTATTACGTCTGCTTCTTTCCAGATGTCCGGGAAGGAGCAGTTCGTGAGAAAGGTGTTAAATATTCCAACAAGGAGGCAAATAAGTGGTGCCGAAAGGGATTTGATCACCTTGTTGCTGATGCCGTCTGGCCCAGGGGCTGATCTATTTTCTATTCTATTTTGAAGATTTTTTATAGTTTCGGTGACTTCATCTACTGTCACAGGATCGAGTGGTTCACCCGCTGGTGGCAGCGCAGACCTACGTTCTACTTCCGTTTCTACCTCCAATAGGTGAGCGGGATCTATTGGTGCAGTGGATTTCGTGCACTGGTACTCTAGACCGTCTGCTAGGCATTCGGCTTTTTCGAGATCGTCAAGGGCGAGATCGGGGCGGTCCAGCCTCACGAGAGGCGGCATCGGTGCGGATTTGTCGGCTTTAAGAGCTCTTGTTAGTCTCCAGAAGGCGTTTTGGGATGGTTTGATACCTTCTAAGAGGTTATCCCAGTTATCGTTTCTAAACTCGGCTACTCGATGTTTAATCTCGTTTTGTAGAGAACGTACCCGAAGTTTATTGGTTTCCGTGCGATAGCGGTCGTAAGTTTTAAGCGCGGAATTCTTCGCTCTAATCAGCCGTCGAACATCCGACGGAAGTTTCGTGTATTGATCGCTCGATACACGAACCTTACGGGAGCAATTTTCGACCGCTGATGTGAGGTGAGTCGAAAGGGCGTTAATCGCTGGGGGGCTTAACCCATGCGTTGGGCTTAGGTGCTGAATGCACCGGAAGGCTTGGGCCTTGCCCGGAAGTCCCGTTAACGGGGGCGGCCAAAAAAAACGACTAAAAAAAAAATTGGTGCGACCGATGGGGCAAAATGCCGTGGGCGCGACCTACTGTGGTTGCCCGCCCGTCCGCGCCGGATTGCTCCTCCGTTCTGCTTCCTACGCGGCGCTTTGGAACACCCGTTTACGTGTACGTTTCAAAAGGAGTTTTCTTCCGCGTACAACCTCTCTGTGGAATAATTTACCACCGGTGATTTTTCCGGACCGATACGACCTGGGGACCTTCAAGAAAAGAGCTTACTCCTTTCTAAAGGGCCGGCAACGCACCTGCAATTCCCCCGGTGTTGCGGTTGATCATGGGCGGCGGTAGTCACTTAACATCAGGTGAGCCACATGCTCGTTTGCCCCCTCTTCTATAAAAAAAAAAAAAAAAAAAAAAACCCGCGATAGCTCGCTGGGTGTCCCTCTTCGCCGCACAGAACACAGCTCGGGGGGCCCTCCATCTCGGGCGTTCGGGGGCACTCAGTAGTGCCATGATCACCTAGGCACTTGACGCACCTAGGCCTGGCGAAACAGTTCTTTGCCGAGTGGCCGTATAATTGGCATCGATGGCATTGGCCAACGATGCCCCTATTACGCGGGGATTCTACAAAAATCCCCGTGAGATTGCATATCCTAGTGATATTGTATATCTGTTTGCCCTCTGGAGACAGGTCCAGTATGACAAGACAAAGATCGAGATAGCGTTTCTTATCAGTTGCGTGGTGCATCCTGTGCACTTCTCTGACAGGCAGGTTTTGCGATTTAAGATCGCTTAGAATGAATTCTGTTTCTAGCTCCTTAGGGAGTCCGCGAATTACAACACGGAGGTTACGGTCCTCCGCGAGAGAGTAAGTATGGAAGCTCAAGTTTTGAGCTTTTAAATGCGCAGTTAAAGCGCGGAAATCGTCCGTCGTTGCGACGTGGATGCGGATGCCTTGTGGTCCATTGTGGACTTTGGGGCAGAATATCTTTTTGAAGTCTGTCCACTTGGATAGGTTGCTCCAGCGCGACTTATCCTGTAACATTATAGGTGGCGGCGGCTTGTCCTTCCTAGGTACGGCCTGAGTCGGGTTCGCGGCTTTGATCGCGGTAATTTTGCGCGCGAAAGGCGCGACTTTTTTAGCCGGAGTGGCGTTGGGCGACGTAGGGGCCGAGTGAGGCTCGTCTCCCTTTTTCACGGCGGGGCGCTTGCGCTTTTTACCCGAGACTAAGGTGAAGCCTTCGTCATCGGGTTTATCAGGTCGGCGAATCTCGATATCCATCTCGGAGCCTGATTCAGCGTCCGAAAACAACGGTGATGGACCGCGGGTGGAGAGCGCAGAAGGCGCGGGGGACGCGGCGTCGTACACTGTGTCAATGGACACAGGGGTCGAGCGGCCGGTGCTCGGCGATATAGGATCGTCTATCCGTACTACGGGGCGTTCAGCCGTGGACGAGTTACGTTGGGCTAGAAAAGCAGCCCAAGCGTCGGTGCACACTTGGCCGAAGAAGTCGGCGAGTTCGGCTATAGTAATAGCCGCCATCTTGTCAGTGGAAACAAACACTTGTGTATCAAGCCCCCCCACCTTTCAGCGGGGGAGGTGTGTGCCTAAACGAACACGTATGCAACTAGCGCGTTGGTACGCTAGGGTGTGTACCTAGCTGTCGCCTAATGCGACAAGCGAACACAGAAATTTAAAAATAGAATTGCTGCCTCTGAGGCAGCGGGTGTGTAATAAACTACTTACAGTTTTTACCGGAAATCCGGAGAACGTGGGGCACTAAACTAGCACTACATACAAACAGAACAATGGGCCGGCGGCCCGATGTACTTGGCGGCCGTACAGAGCACAACGACACTGAAGCACTCGCGCACGCAGGTAAAAATGTCTTTGTCTTCTTTCTTGAATAAAACGTACTGGGAGCGCATGGGCTCGACCGAACTACTGCACTTCACTGTAGGGTCGCAGGCAACCGAACGCGGCGAGGTACCTGATCGGAATCAGCGGACGGACGGACCCACGGACTGACGGACCCACGGACTCCCAAGGACCACGTATGGCTCCCTTTTTAGGGTATATATGTATATATATGTTCTGTGGTATGGCTCCTCAGAAAACAATTTGCAAGCTTGCGACTGATCGTGACCTAGCGAGTCGCCAGGTATTGTTAACACGCGAGCGAGAGCGAGACGGCATGTACTAGCAACAGCGCCCGTGAGTATCGAAATCGGGGGTGTGGGCGTGCGGGCGGGGAGGAAAGCAGACTGCTAGTCGGTCAGTCGCAGCGCAAATCGCGGAGCAACAGTTTATTTGTTTTGTGATTTGTCGAGTTTTCGTTCGTTTAATTAAATTATTTTTTTTGTACCTAAGCGTGGTATGGATCCTAAAAAAGCGAAAAGTGGACAGTGAAAATAGGAGGTTTCTAGAAGAATGGACTGAACAATATTGTTTTACGCTGCCGGATAGGCCTCAAGCAGTTCCAGTGTGCCTAATATGTGCAATAAAACTGTTGCTATTGTTAAAAGTGGAAATTTGAAGCGACACTATGAAAGACTCATCAGCAATTCCACAAAACTTTCCTCTTGGCAGTGAGGCTCGTAAAGAAAAACTTCAGGCACATCTCCGTTCTTACAATAAAAGCACAAAATTACTAGTTCGCTGCATAAGCGACCAAGAAAAATCCACAGAAGCAGCGTTACGTGTGTGCTGGACGCTTAATAAACACCAGAAACCATTTTCGGATTCAGAGATAGAGAAGGAATGTATGTTGGCAGCAGTCACGGCACTTTTTGAAGAAAAAAAAGAGATGTTGTCGCTGGAATTCAAAATATTCCATTATCAGCAAGAAGCAATAGGCGAAGAACTGAAATTTTAGCTGCTGATATTAAAATCACCCTTTTCGAACTTCTGCAAAGGGCATCTTGCTACGCTATAGCACTTGATGAGTCATGTGACATTGTTGATGATGAACAATGTCAATTTTTGTCAGATTTCTTGACATTGAGTGTAAAACTTTTAGGGAAGAGTTGCTAACAATATTGCCTCTAAAAGGTAACACTCGAGGAGAAGATTTATTCAAGGTAATTGATGAATTTATTACTAAATCTAACATCAGTTACGATAAAATTGTGTCGCTTTCAACTGACGGGGCCCCAGCAATGATTGGCAAAGAAAAAGGTGTAGTAAAGAGAATTAGGGATAAAAATCCAGGCCTAATATCGTATCAGTGCATAATTCACCAGGCAGCCCTTTGTGGAAAACTTAGCGCTACACTGAAAGAAGTGATGGACAGCTTCGTGAAGTTAGTAAATTTTATGAGATCTCATTCTGCTCTTCAGTACCGACATTTCAAGGAGTTTCTTTTTGAATGTGATTCAGCGTATTCTGACTTACTGCAACACAACAATGTTCGTTGGCTAAGTAAAGGTCAAGTTATTGAACGTTTTTGGCTAATAAAAGAACAAGTAACCTCCTTCTTGCAAAACTTAGATACGCAGGGAGCTAAGAAGCACCTTGAGTACGTAACAAATATACTGGTTGTGGCTTTTCTAAAAAATATTTTGAAATATTTAAATGCACTCAACGCAGAGTTACAAGGAAATGGAAAATTAATATGTGATCTGATACAAAGCGTCTCTGCTTTTCGTCGTAAGCTGGATATCTTTGAAAAAGATATTGCAAGACAAGAATTTGTTCATTTTCCGACAATTTTGGAATATAAAAAGGAGAACTCTGAAGAAGACATTGCAGTGCTTACAACATTTTTGGCCGATCTTAGGAACGAATTTGCCACAAGATTCCAAGACTTTGCAGAGATGGGCAAGCTGTCTCTGTTTCTTAAGTCACCCTTTGAAGTTGATGTAGCAGCAGAATGGACAGATGTGACTGCCAAGTTGTTTAATCTGTCAAAGCCATCACTTCAAATGGAAATAATCGATCTGCAAGAAGATGTATCTTTGCAAATATATAAAACTGTGTCAACTGAAGAATTTTGGGTCAAACATGTCCCAGTAAAATATGAAAATTGCAAAAAACTTGCTATCAATTTGGCCACTATGTTTGGTTAACATACGTATGCGAAACATCTTTTTCAAAGATGAATTTTTTGAAAAACAAATATCGTTCGAGATTAACGGACGCTCACTTAGAAGACACTCTTCGAATTTGCTGTTCTTCTCGAGAACCAAACTATAAAAACCTAGCTCAAGACCGTCGATGCAATTTTTCACATTAATTCTACAATTTTATAATTCAGAATTTTACTCCTACAATAAATAGCTGCCTAACACTTAATTATTATCAGTTGTTTTTTTTCTGAACCTTGTAAAAATTTTCAAGGTTTATCCGCACACTACCTAAAGCTACTTGCCGACCCCTGGTCTAGTGGCACCGTTCGAATCCCGAGTCAGACCAAAAACAGTTATTGGAATTAAAAAGAAGTGTCATATCCTATTAAAATCCTTAAATTTGCAAAAAAAAAATTGTGTGTCACACACATGGGTGAAAAAACTATCCTTCTCTCAAGTTGGACGAAACTGCACACGATGTGCAAATTTGATTAAAATCGATTTAGTAGTTTAGAAGTCCATCGCGGAAAAACAACGTGACACGTAATTTTTACATATTAAGATTATTTAGAAAGTAAAAGTAGCCTTCGTTGACCAGGGCATCAGGAAGTTAATCTTAGTGCCACTTCGTGAGTATGGATGCTACCGCGGCCTTTAAGGAGAAGAAAGGAGCTTACTCGGAAGTATAAAATCATCCTAGCGCTACAATAATTTTGCGGCAATAAGTACAGCAACCGATATAAAAGTGTTACACGGCATCTCCGTCTGTTTGCCGCTTCTATCGCGCTAAATTTTCTCGTTTAAACTTATTTTCTCTTATCTAATTTTCTCCTATTTGCGGCAGGCAGGGGATCGTTGGATAGACATATCGACAGCATTATTAAATTTCTTGATAATTTTAATCTAACGTTTTCTGTTACTGTTATTTACACTAGTAACTTTGAAAGTATTGGACAGAAAGTCATAAAAATATCAAAATAGGTTCACCTAAAAAAGTTCTAAAGTAACACGTATAAAAATACAATCGAATTGACAACCTCCTCCTTTTTTAGAAGTCGGTTGAAAAAATGACATTTGATTAATTTTCTCATAAATCGTACATGCCAACACGTTAGAAAATGGTTTGTTTAGCTTTTTTATTTTTTAATTTTCAACCTATACATTACCTATATTTATGTAATTAAATATTTGAATTTGAACTACTTACGTTATAATTTTGCATACTTTATATTTACAGTAATATTATTCATAACGACTAAGACTAAGTCTAATACCATGTAACTATCAACCTGTTTACTAATTCTATCCTGCCAAATTTTCTCATTTAAACTCTTTACGTTGACGAAAATATATTTACTTGCGTTGCTTTCTTTGTGATAAACTAGGCAAACATAGTTCACACGCACACTTATTACTCTATCTTATATTCACTAGTGTGGTGGCGCCAGGGAAGGGAACCCACTACCCCATATCATTCCATAGGTGACGTAAGAGGCGACAAAAGTAAATAAAACAGGAGAGGATCAGCAGCGGCAGGAGCTTTATGTGGTAGAGAAACGCTGCAGCTATATTATGGTTGTAGCAAAAATGGGACGGCTCGATCGGGGTAGGAGCAAGCTCTCACAGAACGTCAGTGTAAAATAGCAGTTTGATGCTGCTGTTTGGTCGTATGGTAAATGTTAAGAACCGGAGACCCTTTTTATTGGAAACGGGGCATTCCAATTCAGTCCTCAGAGGTGATAACGCATATGCATGTTCATTCTTAATTTAGGATCTTTATGAGCCACAGCAACCACTTACCATCGGGTGGACTGTGTGCTTGCTTATTACCCTTATTCAAAAAGAAGCATCTACCAAATAACAACACAACCCAAATGTGGCAACTATGGCAAATATACATGGGAAGGCCTATGTTAAGTTGTGGATTTTTGATAGGCTGTAATTAATTAATAGACACCAACATTAGTTCTTAAATTAAAAAAAGAATTCTTGTCATCCCTAGAAGGTGACTAAGATGGAATGCCCAGTTACCGGTCTCTGGTTCTCGTCACATATTTTTATAGAATAAGTGACAAACCAGCACACAGTCCACCTGATGGTAGTTGGATGCTGTGGCCCAAAGACATCTATATTTATTCTCAACTAAGAAATAAAATGCAGATGCATTGTCACCACTGAGGACGGAGATGGAGTACCTCATTTCCAGTTAAAAAGTTCTGCGGTTCTCTACACTCCCATTCAAACCACAGCAGCATTAAGCTGCTATTTTACTTCGGTATTTATCATTTATAATATAATATGATGAATACCAACCATATCATAATTTCCGTGTAAACCTTACGAAACATTTATAACAGGTATCTTTTTGTCAGGTCTTTTTAAGACCATGCCAGCAGCACAACTTCGAACTGTTGACCATGTTTGAAATTACGGTCCGATCATCAGCCTATATGATATGGATAAGGATTAGCCACGTTGAAATAGATATGATTTATTACAATTCATTACAATTAATTGTGTGTCAGAACCTTGATGGTTGACAGATGAGTTACTGGTTTCAGCAATATTTTCCCTTTAACCTGAAGTTATTTTTATTTATATTTATGACTAGCCGTTCTCCGCGACATCGTCCGTGTGAAATGGGGTTTGATTTTTTTACGCGGAAGCCTAATTGTATTTCAAAAATAAAAAGAGGCCTAAGCTACTTCTTATAAATCAGCTATCAGCCAGTGAAAGTCCTGTCGAAATCGGTCCAGACATTTCAGATAATATTCGGAACAATAAGACAGACCGACAGAATTTTTTTTAAATAGTTTTTTTGTAATAAGTAGGTACCGTATATATATACTCTTATATATATTTAGTAAAAAAGTTGTTAGTTTGAGATTACAAAGAGATACTGCAAATTTATTTATTTGTTTATATTTATTTACTACACTAGTAAGCTGTGGGTTTAAAAATAAAAATATAACGAAATATAAAAATTAGCAGCTACACTTCGTTCAGTTGTTCTTTAACAGGTATGAAACAAGAGGTCAACTGACGGATACAAATTGGCTAGGACGTTTTCGGGAAATTTCTATCTCATTCCGATCACTATAGAAATTTGAAACAAAACACGATGTGCACCCCGTGAAAAAAAATTAAAAATGTTAAAAATCTTATTCAATTATTCAATGGTAAAAATCAATCAAATAAGATCCGTGCAATAAACTAAAATGAAGTGCCTTACCTGGTTTGAAGAGCACGACCCGCTCTTCTTCAACAGCGTGCACTATCCCCGTCACCACTAATCTCAGCACCACTCTCCTAGAAAAGACACACCACCGTCGAAAATACCTCGCGTTTTCACCCCTTATCTTTTGCTTAGCATCTTTAATTTAATAGACACAAATATAACACCCAATTCCATTAATTATGTGAAAACAAAATAATTACTATAAATTAATTTGAGAACTTATAGTTAAGAACTTAGTTTAGAACTTAGAAGTTAAGAAAAATTGTTACTAACATACTAACAATCTATGGATGTTCCTTACGTCTGAAATAAACACTTATTATTATTATTATTATTATTATTATTATTTTGTATATATAATAATAATATATATTTATATATTATTATTATTTTGTATATATAAGTTCTTTATTTCCAAGAGGTTGTACATCACGATATTTGCATAACATTATTTAATAAAGCTACATTAGTACATATACTTGAAAACATAGAATCTGCAGCCGAACTGGGAGACCTGTGCATCAGCTGTCAGCGCCATATCCCCACCGTTAATTTATAGAAATATTAGAA